GATGGATGGATGGATGGATGGATGGATGGATGGATGGATGGATGGATGGATGGATGGATGGATGGATGGATGGATGGAAACTGAATAAGAAATAAACTAAAGTATTTTCATTGACAAATTGATGTAGTAACAATTCATCTTGCTTGTTAAAACCCAAACAGCATCTGTCCCACAAAGGTCACTGTTTTCATCCTGATTCTTTCACTAAGTTGTACTTTTAATAAGGCCTTTCCTGTCCATCTTTCCAAATCAGGAATTTTCTCAGTCTTGATCTGACTTTACCGTTTCCTCTTTTCTATCAGCTCCTGCTAGCATCGAGAGCTGCTGGGTACAGCTACCTCTGTCAGCCTGTCAACTATTCAAATGATGTCAATGAAGTCAGGGTAAGCTCCTCCTCACACACCACCAAGCTCATACATGAGAAGTTTAATTTACCAAATTGATGCTTAGACCTCAGCTAACACATGTCTGCCAGGTGGAGCGATGCTATAATCCTGCTGCTGACGTTAAGAAGATCACTAATGCTGTTGTGTGTCGTAGCAGGATGAAACAAAGAGATCATGAGAGCCCAACAGTTTTTTTTTCTTTCTACTGGTTTAGGGTTAAAGAGACTGTGGTGGTTGGTCACGCCACACTAAAGCTTCAGCCCCTCCTCGTTTCTGCTCTTTACTCTGTTACAACAACCTTAKTTAGGAATCAGAGGTGCCACAGTGCCATGGCTTATAGGGCAGCTTTGTCACACAAGGGAGGAGCACAGCAGAGTTAAACAGGAACACTCATATTGGAACCATACTAAATAAATATAAAAAATATATTTGTTTATATTTTTCATTAATTTCTGGTAGACACGTGTGCAAAGATTTATTTTTCATTAAGTCGTCATCAAGTCACAAGTTTGAATAAAATAAACGAGGGAAGCAAAGGAACATTTTTTTAAACCAAATACAAGTGCAAGTACTACATTTGCCCAAACCACTTATAAATTTTTAACATAAGTAGAACTTTTAATTCCAAATTTTATCCATTCATCAGGTGATTTTTATGGTAAAAACTTGCGCTTTGATAGTTTTTTTTTTAAATATTGACTGATCAACTTTGAAGTGAACATCTTGCTGCCATAAATTAGAAGTATGAGTACATGTTGGTAGAAACTGGTATGAGTATCTGTACATCCCTATAATAAACTGCAGCAGCTGAGATGATCTCCTCTAGGTCTGGGCATTGTTAACCACCTCAACCAACAACATTCAGTTCTTATGGATAAATTTGTATATTTATTTTCTTGCCCATATAAACAGAAATGGTATACATTAACATTTTTGAGAGAATAAAATAATAAAAACAATAATACATGTTGTAAATATGGAGTGCAAACATAAAAACCTGACAAACTGGCCAGGAAATCAAATTGAATCAGAGGCTTTTCTGAGGTGGGGAAAAAAATACACTGCAATGTGATGAACTGATATTTTTACCCATCTCTAATCCCCATTACCTGAACATTGTGTTTGTAGAACTGCGTTTGTAAAATGCTGTTTTCTGTCAGAGATACAGTATATTTGAACCCACTGGTGTAGGTGTTTGCATGTTTGACATCCATCAATGGGAGATGCAAYAGTCAGTTCTGCCTCTTTTGCATCTTCAGATAGCTTCTGCTCTTTGGTGGTACTACATCTCCAAAGGAGTGGAGTTCTTGGATACTGTCTTTTTCATACTGAGGAAGAAGTTCAACCAGGTCAGCTTCCTCCATGTCTACCACCACTGTACGATGTTCATCCTGTGGTGGATCGGCATCAAGTGGGTCCCCGGTGGGCAGTGTGAGTTATTTCATTTCAATTCCAGCGGCTTCAGAAAATCAGATGGAGCTGAATTGTGTGTACATGTTAGACAATGAAATAACACCGCCAGAGTGACATGTGACACCAACTTCTCCACAGCATTTTTTGGTGCAACCATCAACTCCTCCATCCACGTCCTSATGTATGGTTACTATGGTCTGGCAGCTCTGGGACCTCATATACAGAAGTACCTCTGGTGGAAAAAATACCTCACTATTATTCAGATGGTGGGTAACACCTTCACAGCTGTGTAGAACATATAATAAATGTTGTTCTAAATGTTCCACGCACAAACAAAATCGATTTGCAGGCATTTCAATGGGGTTTTAGTTGCTTTTATCATTTCCTCACCTGTTTTGTGCACAGTTGCAGCTGGATTTAGTGCAACTCTACTTTAATTACAAAGACATGCAGAATAGCYAAAACATTACCAGTAACATACATGTAGATCTAATAATTTATTTTCCTTCTTTGTTCATTTCAGTCTCTTTACATCAGGAGCAGAAAAGTAGGGAGAACCAAGATAGTCTTCTTTACATGAAAAGAAAAAGATTTATATTCCTGATTCTTACATAAACATCTGGTCCAACAAAATGATCTGAAATACCACAGTTCAGGCCAAAGTTAAAGTTCTGCATCTTTAATTGACTTTGTGGGTGTGTAATTGTGTGCAGATGTTTCTTGCCCAAAGCAGGGTTATTATAGTTAACTAAAACTAACTAAATAACAAAAACTGAAATTGCAAAAACATTTTAGTTAACTAAAATAAATAAAAACTGTAATAAAATGTAAAAACGATAACTAAAACTGTGTAATTAATTTACATAACTAACTAATACTAACTGAATTTATAGATAGAATATATATAGTTTTAATTTTTTAGTGTCACTGTAATCAGAGTTGTAAAGTAACTAAGTACAAATACTTTGTTACTGTACTTAAGTAGAAATTTCGGTTATCTGTACTTTACTTGAGTAATTATTTTTCAACGTACTTTTTACTTTTACTCGTTACATTTTTACACAACTATCTGTACTTTCTACTCACTGCATTTTTTTAAAAAGGTAAGAAGTAGAAAGTTGTTACTCCTATTTTATTCCAAGTTGTTATTACTTAAAAACATACTATCCTGATAAATTGTGTCTCCTGGATAGAGTGAATTTAATTGTGGTTGGATGAGAAGYATAAATATATAACATTCTGACTCCATATTAGCTTGTACACAACCCATCACAGCTGCACACTGTTAGAAAAAATGCTTTTCGAGAAGTCACCTCCCTATAAATGTAATTTTGCAAAATCTAACTRCTCACTTTTACTCAGTATTTTTACTTTTAAAAAGTAGATTTTGTGTCAGAAATTTACTTTTTATACTTAAGTACAACAAATATCAGATACTTTGACTTTTACTCAAGTAATATTTTTAGAGAAGACTTTAACTTTTACCAAAGTATTTTTATGATAAGATACTTGTACTTTTATTCAAGTATCACTTTGAGGTACTTTATACAACACTGGCTGTAATGGACTGCTTTAACTAGCGACCAAATGGCTGTTGGTTAGTTAACTCACAGGAACATCACAAGTTTGAGGATGCATTGGCAAAAAAAATACAATAACAGAAAAACTAATACTAGAACTAATAAAAACTAAACTAAACTAAAACTAAGCATTAAAAATGCAATAAGAACTAATAAAAACTAGCAAATCAACTGTGAAAACTAATTAAAACGAACTGAATCAAAAGAAAAAATGCCACAAAAAATAAAAATAAACTATAATGAACAATCCAAAACTATTATAACCTTGGCCCAAAGCAAGACCAGAAAAAGAAACACATCATTCTAGCCAAGTAAATTCAGCATTTTGTCACTCTTTTGATTAACAATAGTGCAGCTACAGCAGGTAAAATAAGTATTGAACACGTCACCATTTTTCTCAGTAAATAYATTACTAGAGGTGCTAATGACATGAAATTTTCACCAGATGTTGGTAACAACCCAAGTGATCCATACATACAAAGAAATCAAACCATAAATGTCCAGAAATGAAGTTATTTGTAATAATGTGGAATGGCACAGGGAAAAATATTGAACACATGAAGAAAGGGAGGTGTAAAAAGGCATGGAAAGCCAAGACACCAGCTGAACTCTTTCAGTAATTAGAAAGCAAGCCTGCCCCTTGTCAGTGCAAGTTAATATCAGTTGGTTCAGTCCCAAATGATGACCAGGTATCACACAAGAACCATCTGATGATGGGTAAAAGTAAAGAGCTCTCTCAAGACCTTCACAACCTTATTGTTGCAAAGCATAATGATGGCATCGGTTACAGAAGAATGTCTAAACTTCTGAAGGTTCCAGTGAGCACTGTTGGGGCCATAATTCAGAAGTGGAAAGAACATTATTTCACCATAAACTGACCACGACCAGGTGCTCCTCACAAGATTTCTGACAGAGGAGTGAAAAGAATTATCAGAAGAGTTGTCCAAGAGCCAAGGACCACTTGTGGAGAGCTTCAGAAAGACCTGGAATTAGCAGGTACGATTGTTTCAAAGAAAACAATAAGTAATGCACTGAACCACCATGGCCTGTATGCACGCTCACCACACAAAGACTCCACTGCTGAAGAAACAGCATGTTGAAGCTCCTTTAAAGTTTGCTGCACAACATTTAAACAAGCCTGTGTAATACTGGGAGAATATAGTCTGGTCAGATGAGACCAACATTGAACTGTTTGGATGCCAGAATACACATCATGTTTGGAGGTCAAATGGCACTGCACATCAGCCCAAAAACACCATACCAACAGTGAAGTTTGGAGGTGGGAACATCATGGTGTGGGGGTTGTTTTTCAGCATATGGTACTGGCAAACTTCAAATAATTGAAGGAAGGATGACTGGAAAAATGTACAGAGACATTCTTGTCAGAAATCTTGTGAGGAGCACCTGGTCGTGGTCAGTTTATGGTGAAATAATGTTCTTTCCACTTCTGAATTATGGCCCCAACAGTGCTCACTGGAACCTTCAGAAGTTTAGACATTCTTCTGTAACYGATGCCATCATTATGCTTTGCAACAATAAGGTTGTGAAGGTCTTGAGAGAGCTCTTTACTTTTACCCATCATCAGATGGTTCTTGTGTGATACCTGGCCATCATTTGGGACTGAACCAGCTGATATTAACTTGCACTGACAAGGGGCAGGCTTGCTTTCTAATTACTGAGAGAGTTCAGCTGGTGTCTTGGCTTTCCATGCCTTTTTACACCTCCCTTTCTTCATGTGTTCAATACTTTTTCCCTGTGCCATTCCACATTATTACAAATAACTTCATTTCTGGAGGTTTGATTTCTTTGTATGTATGGATCACTTGGGTTGTTACCGACATCTGTTGAAAATTTCATATCATTAGCACCTCTAGTAATATATTTACTGAGAAAAATGTTGACGTGTTCAATACTTATTTTACCCGCTGTATGTCTCTGACGAAAATCAAACAACTAAAAGGACAAATCCTACTTTATCTATGCTACAAGTGTTAAAAAGCAGAAATATTAAATTAGGATTTTCATTTAATGGTAATGAATAAGAAAAGTTTGTGAAGGACACTGATGTATATATGAATTCAATGTATTTCAGGCAGAAATATTTGAATTTATGTGTTCATTATAAACTGTTCAACAGGTCCAGTTCCATGTAACCATCGGCCACGCCGGCTATTCCCTCTACACCGGCTGTCCGTTCCCCTGCTGGATGCAGTGGGCTCTGATCGGCTACGCCGTCACCTTCATCATCCTCTTCGCCAACTTCTACTACCACGCCTACAGACGCAAACCTTCCTCGCTCAAAGGAGGCAAGCCCGTGGCTAACGGCTCCTCTGCCGTGGCTAACGGGCACAGCAGTACGGAGGAGGTGGAGGAAAACGGAAAGAGGGAAAAGAAGGGCAGAGCGAAAAGAGAGTGAAAGAGGAAGAAGAGCTTTACGGGCGAAACGACGCAGCTAAACGTCAGAGAGTGAGGGAGGGGATATACAGAGTGTTCGTCATCCCCGAAAAATGTAGATGGATGCGATTTGGGACCAACTTGAGGAGATGAATGGGTTGTAGCGTGTGTTTGTGAGCGTGTCTGTAAGTGGAAGAGAGTTGTGTTGTCAACTCTTTTTTTTTTATTTTAAATGAAGAAAAGCAAAAATGCTGATCGTGTAGACTCCACGCTCCTGTCCAGCYTCTGTTAGGACCAAAATGTTAAAGGACCTGCAACCTGCTCAGCATTCACAATCAAATTTTATTCACTTCCAACTTTTGTACACTGAATACTGCTTTATCTGGAAGCTTGAGTAGTTTTTAACGCTATAGTTTATTTATCAGTGCTCTAAAATACATTTATTTAATTTAATTACCAAAAAGAAAAAAAAGCAAAGAAGGAATTTTAGGGGTGGGAGGACTGTGGGGGTATTTTGTTTACAAATCTTAGGTTGAACATGGTAATAATACAGAATTGTAATATTTGCCATCTGCTGTATTTAACTTCTTTGCAGTCAACTGCAGCTAACATTCAAACCTTATCATGGACTACGCATTCTTCGCTGCTTCAAACGTGCTGCACCTCCTTGTGTTCAAGGCTAATGTAAAACACCTCCAATGAAACTGTAGTTTTCTTTTCTTTTTTTGCAAATATGACTATCTTTGTGGAAAATACATATTTTTGTGAGTCCTCACAATGGTTTTTTTTTTTTGTTTTTTGTTTTTTGTTTTTTTGTTTTGTTTTTTGTCTGAGAGATTGAACTTTTAAAATTGTGTCACTGCTACGTAGAACAGGAGAGAAATGCATCATTAACAAAGAACTTTTATTATCGAAAGTAAACAAGCGGCCATTTTATTGTCTAATCCAAAGAAGAATTATTCAGCTTCTCCGCTGCACACATAAGTCAAATAAAACAATGTCAGCACGAGGTATGTTTGTGTGTTCTTGCATGTTAAAAAAAAGGGCAGTCGTAAATTACTGAGCTGCCGATTCAATGGTATCTACGAACGTTTGATTCAAAATGCAAATTGAAACTTAAAGCCATCTTTTAAAGTGGTGTTCTGTGGGAAGAATCTGAACAATTAATTTCTTACCKGTTGTAAATTCGCTCTTCGAGTGATCTTAGTCTGGAGAAACCGAGTTTCATTCCGACTCGACTGACAAGCTGACACTGCTGTGAAGTCCAAAGTGGATTCCTGCTGTTGTAAAACAACTGTAGTTAAAAAAATTATACATTTTAGTTCATGCAAATGCTAGTTAAAACAATACAAATGCCCAAATTTCTATGAATAGCAAAACAATGTTAGCGTCAAATAGGGATGGGCGATAAAAAAATGAGATATATCGCGATAGACAAGAGATCARTATCAGAAAAAAATACATCTGATAAAACATTTATATTTCAGCTTATGGAAGCTTTTGGAGCGTTTATGAAATTTAAGGAAATAAAAGTTAAGGAAGGACAAGGACCGGAGATTGAGACAACACACAGCAACAGCTAATGATGTTAGCAACTGGCACAATTCATTTTTTTACATGATGTCGTCTGACTTCATAAAATAATTGCAGTAAGCCGCAAGCTGCTTAAGAAATTTACCAAAATTTACATAGAGAAATACGTTATGTACTGGACCAGAGATTGTGATAACACACAACAGCTAATGAAGCTGTATCGCTAAAGCCTAGCTGCAGGTTGGTGGCATTGACTAACTCACTGACTCTTTGGTAAGCTAGAAACAACCTGTTGAGTGCACAGTAGTTTCATGTTTCACCACTGTGCCTCATAACTGGTTAAAAAGTTTAAAAAGAACGACGTGGAGGGAAAGGAAAAAATTGGTGCAACAGCTCGAGAGGAAATTGTGGATAAAAGAGGAAAGGTCACATCACCGGTTTGGCTGTTTTATACAACCTTTTTTTCTCCTGGCCTTTAAAAAACTAATCAATAATTATCTATATCGACTGATATGAAACACTTATACCATGATACATCTTTCAGCTATACCGCCCAGCCCTAGCGTAAAGGTCATTGAAATTAGCATTTGCTGAAGATAGCTTTGGCTCGTCAGTATAGTATGAATCAAAGTTTCTATCTCCAAAGAGCTAAGAGCTGAATTACTTCCCACGCCTGTTCCACCCATTTCCTGGCTCTTCCCTTCGTTTTTTGGTTCTCCAGGATGGAAAGCTCTCACACAGGACTGTGTGCCAGGAGAGGCCGAGGAAAAGGGCTGCGTCTTCAGCTGTTTCAGACAGATCTCCCCTAATCTTAGGGAGCAAATTGGCTTTAGCCTCAAAAGAGCTTATTCCCACGTCACTTCAGGAGTAACCCAGGAAAGCAGGTCACTGTCAGGGAAGCCATCTCTAATCTGCAGGCAGTTTGTACCTGTTCAGCTGTGGACTCCAACCAGGGAGAGATGGCTTCTATTCAGGAATCTACTAGTTAATCATCCCAAACATGTTGCAGTCCACTGCTTCTTCAACGTATGCTCCCTAACTGAACAAGTTTATTTATTTGTTTTCACGACCGTGTTCTCTTAACAGCTGCTTGGTGCCTCTTTTTACACCTCATATCAAGTTGCCCACCCACCACCTGTTACTCCCTGGCCTTAACATCAGGATGGCGGTAAAAAAAAAAAAAAGACTCCTCGAGGTGTAGATGTGAGTGATATAGTGGACGAGATGAGTGTAAGGATGTGTTTGTCCTCCTCAGGGACGCAGAAGAATCTAAGCCAACATCTAAGAGGATTGCAGAAGGGTCAGGGCTTTTAGCACAGGTCACAATAACCTGCTGCTACAGGAACAAGCAGAAAACGAGTTCAGAAAGGGAACTCGTGCAGCAGCARATTTTATGTAAACAAAGATACACATTAGACTCCTGCCACCTCATCTTCAGCAATGCAGACAGGTTTATTGAGGCTTAAAGTATTGAGTTAGCTGACACTCCACAGACCCAAATATGTAGGAGGRTGAAGGGTCAGTTTGCAGAGGATAAACCCTTGCAGATCTGACCTGTCACTCACTCATCTCATTAGCCATTAAATGACTAAGAGAGACTAACTGAGTGGAAACAGTCAGCRTTTTACTGAGCGCTCAGTTAGTGGAGCGGCTTATCTTCAGGGGCTACTGTGGAGGGAGAACACCATCTGCTGGACCAGAACTGTCTCCGGATCCAGCAGGAGGCCATATTGATCTAATCCAGTGGTTCCCAAACTTTTTATCTTCTGACCCACAAAATATCCACTGCAAAAACTTGTGACCCCAAATATTACTAGTCTGAGTACACAAACTTCGTTAA